GGGCTGGGACATCCGTTGTGCGGGTGAAGCGCGAGCTGCGCTCGCCGCGGGGATCTCTGGTCCAGGGGCGATGTTTAGACCTCGTGCTGGGCCCCGGGCGCCGAGGGCACCGTGGCATCCAACCCCTGCAACGGTATCGCCCGCGCCGTGCAGTTGACGACATTGAGGTTCGGCTTGGTCTCTTAACCAGCCAAAGGTCATTGGCAGCGCCAGGGTTCGAACCACGACCCCTTAATTCCCAGCTTTCTTCGCAGGCCCATCGGAATCACGCTGTCCCCCGGGACACTCCTTGGGGTGGAGGGTGGCGGACTCAGTTAATGCAAAGAAAGTGTGGTCCCACTCGTTCTTCACCAAGCAGCCGTTATTACCTCCCTATCTCCTGCTGATGTTCTAGAAGACCCCCTTTCCCCTTGCAAGCGAACTGAGATTATTCAGTTAGAATGGCTTGGGGTTTGGGGTCTGCATTGGGGAATCAGATGCATCAGCCTCCGGTTTACGTGTCCCAGCATTGTGAGGTTGTCGCCTAAGTGCATTGATCAGATTCTAGAGCTGGAAACTGGGAAACTGACTTTTAGCTCCAGGCTCAAAGCCTCAGCTCTCATGGTCTCTAAAGGGCTTTTTTTCCTCACTGATAACTGCTGGCACTTAGCGAATATTAAATGGCCGTGCCTGTGCATGTCCCATGTGCCACATATCTACTTAGTGCTTTATATTCCTTCCTAGCTCATTGAAACCCTCTGGTGGCCCTATGAATTGAAAGTCTGGTAATTCCTAGTTTACAGATGAGGAAACTTTGCATCAAAAGGCTCAACTACTAGCCAGCAGCGGTGGCATGGTCCTGTAGTCCCAGCTACTCTGAAGGGTGAGGCAGAATTGCTTGAGCCCAGGAGTTCCAAGCTGGAGGGTGCTATGATAGCGCTTATGTAGGGTCTGTGCCACTACACACCTGGGCAACATGGCGAGACCCTGTCTCTAAATTAAAAAAATGTTCGAATGACTTGTCCAAGGTGGCAGAGCTGGGATTGAAACCCAGGTCTGCCTATCTCCAGATTAGCTTGGCTCCTCAAATTAGATTTGCCTGGAGAATTTGGAAAAAACCAGATTCTAAACCCTACCCTGGGAGGTTCTGACTTAGTTGTTCTTGGATATAACCCTGGAATCTGTGTATTTGACAAGCAGAGCGGTGGTCCTGGGCCACACTGAGGGAACTCTCTTCCTCCTCTGACTTCCTGTGTAGTTGCTGGTCAGAGGTCTTTGGGACTTGCCCCACATGGGGCCTCTCCCAAGATCCTGCTTCTCTCCTCAGGATGACCAACTCTTGGATGATGGCAAGACCCTGGGCGAGTGTGGCTTCACCAGTCAAACAGCACGGCCACAGGCCCCAGCCACAGTGGGGCTGGCCTTCCGGGCAGGTGAGAGGGGTCTGGGCTGGGTGGCAGCCAAGCAGGTTGGGGACACCGTTCCGAAGAGGGTCATCAGGGAACCTGGAGTTGAAACCTTCAGGGCAGTGTCTTCCTCGTGCCTAAAGAGCTGGCAATATCCTTTCACAATGTGTTTGTTTCCTCATTTTTTTTTTTTTTTAAAAAAGAAGCAACCAAATGAGATGCTTACAGAAACCGAAGCTTATTTCCCGAAGCTAGCTCACATTTACAGGCGCTGAGTGCCTGGCTCTGTGCTCTGTGTGTTACTCTGTGTGTGGCTTCCACTGCCCTGTCTCATCCTCTCAGTAGCCCCGGGAGGTCCACATACCATCATCCCTGTTCTGCAGATGAGGACACCGGCTTACCGGCAGTCACACAGGGAGCCATGGTTAGGATGCTGGCTGCCGGGCCCTTGCTGGAGTCAGACATCATGCCAAGCTCTATGCTGTGTATCACTGAATCCCTCTGCATCTCTGTGTGGTTGAGATTTGGATTTTGCCTGTTTTCAGGTTCAGTGAAGTGAGCCCTGGGAGGTTAGGTCACCTGCTGGGACTGCCACGCCTAGGATTGAGATCCAGAGCCTGTGCTTCCATCAGCCATACCCCACCCCTGCCCAAGCTTTAGAAACCTGGGGATTAGGGAGTGGTTTACTCCTCGCCAGGGTATCTTCTTCCATCCAAGAGAAAGGGAGGGGGGATTTTAAATGTTTTGTCTCTGGGAACTTGAACAGAGGTTATAGAGCTGTGTTTTCACAGCCGTGGACCCAGCAGCTGTGTGGATGGCTGAGAAAACTTTATTCAAGTTATAAAGAATTATTATTTTTCTGCCTGTAAGGAAACATAGCAGAGGCTGAAGAGGAAGAGTATAGTCCTGGCTCCACCTTTCCATTCCATAAGTTCAGGCTAGGCCTCAGTCTCAGCATCTATATCCTCTAGCCAGCTACCTTGCCCTCCTGGCCCTCCTGGCCCCGGTTTTCCCTTCTCCTTAAACGGGTGTGATGAGACTGGCTTCACAGCAAGGTGGTGTGAGTCCTCATGCACCCCAGGTCTGGCCTGCTGCCAGTGCCCAACAGATAGGAAGCTTCAGAACCTTTCTGTGGGCTCTTTCTGCCCAGATGGTGATGTTAAGAGTTAGGTGCAGGGCTGGCACAGACATACAGGTCGTGCCCTGTACATGGGTGCATTTTGTTGTTGTTGTTGTTTCTGAGACAGAGTCTCACTCTGTTGGCTAGGCTGGAGTGCGGTGGTGCCATCCCAGCCCACTGCAGCCTTCACCTCCCTGGTTCAAGAGATTCTCCTGCCTCAGTGGCCTGAGTAGCTGGAATTACAGGCATGCACCACCACGCCCAGCTAATCTTTGTATTTTTAGTAGAAATGGGGTTTCACCTTGTTAAGTCAGCCTGGTCTCAAACTCCTGGGATTACAGGCTTGAGCCTTGGCTCCTGGCCCAGGGGTGCCTTTCTGAAGACAGCAAGTGAGTGCCAAGAGTATATCTGGTCTGCTTCCCCCAGAAGTGTCACTTTCTCTAATTTGAACAGTGGTACGCTAGAGGTTTGCTGTGACTTGGAAGATATTGATAGACCCATTTTGCAGGTGAGAAAATCAAGGCTAAGGAAGGTGACTTGTTTTTCTCCCACAGCCCCTAGTATGGCATGGAATGTGGTGGTGACTCTGGAGCCCAGGTCACATCAGCCCTCTTGCAGGTGAGGGCTATCTTGATAGGGGCACAGCATGGGCTGTGAGCTCTTTGCTTCCCCATGGACTGCTTGCAGAGACACACTTCCTGGGTGCAACTCAACCCATCACCATGTTGTTCCCAGGCCTTGAATGGGTGCCCCGCCCTCCGCCTCTACCCTCCCCGAAGCTTACCACTCAAGAAGATAAGACAGTGTTTCAAATCAAATGTTAAAGAGCATTGTCCAGGCTCATCACGAAAGAATGAGGGAGGTAGTGAAGGCACGAATGGTCACAGGTTTGTGGCTTGGAAGATGCATTAGATTAAGCTGCGTCAGTTTCTGAACCTTGGCACAGTGGACACATTGGGCTGGATTACTGTGTGGGTTGCCTTGTGCACCATAGCATGTGGAGCCGTATCCCAGGCCTCTACCCACTAGACAGCGTTGGAACACCCCACCTCCCCAGTTGTGACAGCCAGAACTGTCACCAGGCATGCCAGCTTTCCCTGGGATGCCTAATCAGTTGAGAACCCTGAGCCAAGCAGAGATGGGTCTCCTAGCTGGAAGAAAGCACAGGAGAAAAGCTGTGGGTTTGTTTGCTGTGTGTTGGGGTGACAGTAGGGACAAGACAGGGAAGGCCTTTGCCTTCCTGGAGCCAGTCAAAAGGGCAATTTGTCCAGTGGTAAGTGCCCCCACGCCCAGGATGTCAGGATGTCTTGACTTTTGGGGGTGGGTGGATTGGAGGTTCATCTGAGGAGGGGACCTGAGTTGGACCCTGAAAGTCCAGAAGCAACCAGCCATTCCGAGTGCTGGGACCAGCAAGTGCGAAGGTCTGAGTTAGGAAAGAACATAGAGAGCCAGAGCCTGAGAGCATGGGAGGCAGAGGGAGAGACAGACAGCAAGGACTTGATGGTATTCAGAGCATGATGGGAAGCCACTGGAAGGTTTTAAGCAAGGGAGGAATAGTCTAGTTGATTTTTTTTTTTTGAAACAGTCTTGCTGTGTTGCCCAGGTTGGAATGCAGTGGCTGATCTCGGCTCACTGCGAGCTCCGCCTCCCGGGTTCACATTCTCCTGCCTCAGCCTCCTGAGTAGCTGGGACTATAGGCACCTGCCACCACACCCGGCTACTTTTTTTGTATTTTTAGTAGAGACGGGGTTTCACCATGTTAGCCAGGATGGTCTCGATCTTCTGACCTTGTGATCCGCCCACCTCGGCCTACCCAAGTGCTGGGATTACAGGTGCCTGCCACCATGCCCGGCTAATTTTTTCGTGTTTTTAGTAGAGACGGGGTTTAGTGTTAGCCAGGATGGCCTCGAGCTCCTGACCTTGCGATCTGCCCACCTCAGCCTCCCAAAGTGTGTGAAGGAAACAAGGATATACATTCTGGGTGAAGGCTGATGCTGGCTGCAGGTGGTCAGCCCTCAGACTCACTAGTGGATATGGAAGATGAGGAAAGGGGCCCCAGCATGGTCAGTGGGAAGGGCTGGGGACCTTCAGGTTGGGCCCACAGGGGTAGGAGACATTGCTGTGGGGCCATGGGGCAGCTGGAACAGGGAGGTCAGCTCTGTGGAGACCAGCTGTGTGGACGAGTGTTCGCATGGAGATCCCCAAAGCTGCAGATGATCACCCATGAACACCAAGGACCCAGCTGGGGCAAGAATTGGGATATCCCCTTGCAGCTCTGCTCCTTCCTCCACAGATGACACCTTTGAGGCCCTGTGCATCGAGCCGTTCTCCAGCCCACCTGAGCTGCCCGATGTGATGAAGCCCCAGGACTCGGGAAGCAGTGCCAATGAACAAGCCGTGCAGTGAGGACCCCCAAGAGGCCCATTCCCCCCAATAAAAGATTTGGGAGTCTTCCTGGTTGCTGCCTCTTTTTCCCGACCCTCCCTGGGATGGGTCCCACTCCCTGTGGGCTCCTTTTGGGGCTTGTTCTTGGCAGTTCCTGTGCTGTCCTGTCTCCCAGACCCTGGCTGAGAACTTGGCCCAGCCTGCTGCTTAAAGACACCATGGGTACCTGGGTTGCCTTGAGACCCAAGCCATTGTTAGCAGTTAGCCAGCTACACCAACCACTCCAGGGGAAGGGGAGGACTGGGAGGGACACAAAGACCACAGGAAGCCTCAGGGACAACACATTCCAGTTTTAGGTCTTTTTCCTTCTAAGTACCCCCCACCCCCACACTCTGCATGTCCACTCCCAGGGGCCTCTTGTCCTGAGGACAATGGCCAAGAGCAGAAATACAAGCTGGAGCCTGTGTCCTGGTTTGACAGCACGTTCAATGAGGGAACCCCAAAGCGGACCCACACAGGTCCACCCACACTGGGGGCTGCAATCAGGGAGGGAGGTGGCTGCCCCCTTACCACACCTTTAATAAACAGTCTACAGACCCAGTTCCTGCATTTCTCATTTTTATTTGACAGAAAAAGTTGCTCTTGCTGTACAGATTTTAAAAAACCAAAATGCCTTTAAGAAACGTGAAAAGTTGGGGGGAGGGGTACACAACCTCATGGGGGGCAGTAGGGAGCAACTAATTCCAACTCCTGCCCCTACCTTCCAAGAACACCTTACACAACCTCCAGTCCCAACCACCATCACAGTCACCCCCTGGGAACTTTTGGATACAACTGGGGCCATGCCTCCCTGGCCCTGACTCCAGGCTGGGGTGTCCTGAACTGTATCCTCCCCTCCCCCAACTCCCATCTGCATTCCCTCCCACCCCAAACCCCCCAGAACACGTGAACCAGGAAGAACTCACGGAGATTAACATTTCACAGGAACAAAGAAAAAAAAAGGGAGGGAAAGGGAGCCCTTCATCCAAGGGCTGCTAAGGTTCAAAGGAGAGCAGACAAGGACCCTCCCACGGCTCTGCTGGGGAAGAAGGGACACTCCCTGTGGCTCCAGAGCATGGGGTGTGGTGGAATCCCCCAAAGACAATTTATGGAGACCTGCAACAGAAGATACGGGTCAACAGGGAGTTCTGACCCTAGTCCTCAAGGCCAGCTTCTGGGCCACTCCCAAAATGGGGCTGCCACCCACCACCACAACTGGCTCCCAGAAGGCGGCCTCAGCCTTCCAGGACGATGCGCACCTGGAGGAGCGGTGTCTCATGGGCCGAGGGCTAGGTGTCTCCCTCCTGCGCTTGTGGCTGGGGGATCGGCTGTCCCCACGCTGGCCTCTCCGGGAACCCCGTTCACTGCTGCTGCTGCAACACAGGACAGACATCAGGCCACAGAGTGGCACCACCTCAGGCACCACAGATCCACAAAGCTTTCTTGGTAGAAAGCAGTGGCAGCCAGACAGGGCTGGGTGCTGACACCTGCAGCTGGCCTTACCTCTGCTGATCCCGTGGCGACGGCTGGGGCGAGGGACGGCGACGCTCCACAGGCGAGTAGCTGAGGGACCGAGAGTCCCTAAGGGAGTCTATTGGCTTCCGGGGACTGCGGGACCTGGGGAACACAGTAGGATCCAATAGCACCACGCCCTTTCAAGCACAGCGGCCAGCACTCAGGACCACCCACCCAGGTCCTGACCACCAAACCTCACACCACACAGGGCCAGCCTCAGACCCACCTTTGTCCGCTCACTCACCCATCCGCCCGCACACCATCCACCGAGTGCCCAGTGAGCAGGCACAGGGTGCAGCGGGGGATGCAAAGATAAAAGACATTCCCTGCCCTTGAAGGAGCTCAGTGGTGAAGGAAGGCACGCACGGCCCCGTGTGTGGGAAGCAGGGCTGGATGTGCGTGGCTCTGGGGACCCAAGGAAGGGGGACATGGGGCAGGGCAGGGAAGGGGCAGGGCAGTCTTCTCGAAGGTGCTGTTTGAGCGGAGTCTTGCAGAACGAGGAGTTCACCAGGCGGACAAGGAAATTCCAGGCAGAAGGAACAGCATGTCCAAAGGCATGGGCTCTCCTTAAACTGCAAGGCGCTGGGTGTGGCTGGAGCACAGGGCATGTGTGGGGGCGGGCAGGAGGAGAACACAGGGCGGGCAAGGCCCGTTGGTGAAGAGCCTCACACGCCACTCCCGCAGAGGTGGGGCTTTGTCCTGCAGGCCACAGGGCGTCCCGAAGGATTTGTGGAGTGGAGGGAAGTAGCCAGATGTGCGTTTTAGAAAGGTCCCTCTGGCTACATGTGGAAGAGAATGGCGTGGAGGCGGGGAGACAGGGAGGAGGCTGTGGACAGAGTCGGGAGAAGATGATGGTGGCCAGACCAGAGCCCTGGCAGTAGCAACAGGGAGACAAAGCTAGAACCCTGGGACCAGGCTACGTGTTGAGGGAGGGAGAGGAAGAAACCAAGGACCCCCCAGTCCTGGCCTGAGTGCCCCTGTGGATGGCGCAGCCCTTCGCCAGAACAAGGTGCAACGAGCGGGGGAGAGAACAAGCGCCTCTTCCCCCACAACCAGATGCCCAAGGTCACGTGAGACACCCAGCCGGGAGCTCACACCCCAGGGCCCTGTCTCTCGATAAGTCACTCCCCCACCCTCCTTCCATCTCAGGCAAGGCAGCACTCACCTCCGCTCGCCAGGGGGTGGCTTCTTGGGGCTTGCAGGTTTGGGCAAGGCCTGAGGGCCAGGCTTAGCAGGGGAAGGCGAGGAAGAGGAGGAGGAGGAGGAAGAGGAGGAGGAAGAGGAAGAGGAGGAAGAGGAGGAGGAGGAAGAGGAGGAGGAGGAGGAGGAGGAAGATGAAGAGGAGGAGCTGGAACTGGAACTGCTAGAGCGCCTCTTCCGTTTGGCTGGGGTTGGCTCCGGAGGACGTCCCTCTCTAACAGCCTCCTTTGGGGCTGGGGTGGGGCTGGGGACCCTGTGGGAGGAGAGGAGTGTCACAAGGAGACAAGCTGCCCCAGCCCCAACCCTACCTTCCTTGGCCTGGAGGAACGGCAGTGGGGGGAGGGGTGCCTGAGAAAGGCGCTGGGAGCTCTCCTAGCCCTGTAAGCCAGCAATTCTCTGGAGAGCAGTGGTGCGAGCTGACCCAACCTCTGCTAACAGAAGCAACAGGCTGGGGCCCGCAGCATAAGGGATCAAGGTTAAACCTCAAGAATGTCCCTGATGGAGGAATAAGGCCTCTGGGCTCAGGTGTGGAAGCTGAAGCTGGGTAGTCTCCTTCCTCGGAGAGCCGCAGCTTGGGGAGGCCCCTGTGAGTGCAGGTTGGCTGGGGAAGGGGCCGTCCTGCCTGGAGGCAGGGAGAGGGATGGGATGACCTCTGAAGATCCTTCCAGCCCAGGGAGTTCCTCTTGAGGTCTAACTGCCATCCCTCCTGCTGTAAAATTAAGTCCATTTCCTCTAGTTCTGTCCTCTGTAGAGACGGAAAACTTATCATTATCCTCTAGAGAATGAACCTTTGGAGACTTTTATCTGTCCCACTCCTCCTCCCTCCGCCCCCGCCCCAGCATTCTCTTCTACCCCCAGCCTGAGGGTCAAGGTCCCCATACCTCCTCCAAGAGTCAAGCACCTGTGACATGGTTTCTCCCTCCCCACTCCCAACCCATCCCCAATACCTCCCCACTGAAGGATGCTAAAGTCAAGCTCCCTCACCTCTTTAGTGCCACCTCAGGTTGCACAGGAAGGCTAGAGCCCTCTGAGTCGCTAGAACTGGAGCCAGAGGAGGAAGACGACGACGACGACGACGATGAGGAGGAAGAAGAGCTAGAGGACGACGACGAGGAGGAGGAACTCCGCCGCTCCTTTGCTGGCTGCAGGGCGGCTAATGCAGAAGGCTGCTGGGCCCCAGTAGAGGCAGGTGGCTCCCCCACATCAGAGTGGGGCACCCCGGGGGCAGGGACAGAGAGCATGCCATTGTGGTCACCAGCAGAGGACGTGGTCGTTGCCACCGCCCCAGAGGAAAGGGACTGAGACCCTGCTACGGGGGTGGTCTGGGCAATCAAAGAACGGGACTGGTCTGAAAAAGCAGAAGGCACAGGAGACCTCGGCTGATCCTGTGCTGGAGGGAGAAGAGACTGTGAAGGAGCCTGGCCCATTCTAGAGGAAGGGGAGGGAGCCCGTTCAGAGGTCATTCTAGACTGGCTTGGGGCAGACGGTGGTGTTCTGGACCTGGCTCGGTCAAGGAGCGGTGGTGAGGTTCTGCCACTGACACGCTCGTAGGCAGAGAGGGGCACCCTGGGGCTGGTGAGGTTTGCACCAGACAATGTTGGAGCCATCCTAGCACTGGTGAGGCTCGCGGGGGCCAAGGCTGCAGCGGTTCTGGAGCCGGCAATATTCACAGGAGCTGTGGCATGTGCAGACCGAGGACCCACCAGGTTTGCAGAGGCTGGAGCCTGTGGTGTTCTGGAGCTGGAGGGATAGTTTGCAGCAGTTGGTGGGGTGCCAGAGCCTGTGAGACTCAGAGCTGCCAAGGCAGCTGGGGTTCTGGCCCCTGCTAGGTTCACAGCTGGGGCTGTGGGAGTGCGAGGGTCAGCCAGGTTCACAGCCGAAGGTGCCACCGCTGTTCTGGGGCTGGCCAAGTTCATGGCCGCTGCTGCAGCTGGCGTTCGAGTGTCAGCCAGGTTCACTGCTGTTGGGATGGCAGGTGTCCTGGCGCTGGCTAGGTTCATGGCTGCCGCAGAGGCTGCAGGAATCCTGCTGGCAAGGTTGGCTGCTGGAGCGGTTCTGAGACTCATGAGAGGCACCGGGGCTGGAACCTGGGACATTCTTGCAGCAAGGCCAGCAGCAGACATGGACGGAGGAGGCCGAGCAGTGCCAAGACTGATAGCGGTCAGGGCAAGTGCAATCCTGGACTGAGCATGATTTTCTGGCACAGATGTTCTCTGGTGGTCAGGTATTCGGGGACCTGGACCATCCATCATGGAGCCACCGGCTTGCTGCAGGACAGACATGGGTGTTCTAGAGCTGCCAAGGGGTTCAAGCATTCCAGGTGATCTGCAGCGGTCAAGAGGTGTTGGGGACATGCTAGGACGACTAAAGCAGCTCATTCTGGAGCTGTTGAGTGCTACTGGAGGTGTCCGCGAACCAGAATGATTTCTTGTTGCTGGAGGAGTAGCAGATCGTGAACGATCAGAACTACTTCCAGATGCTGAACGCCTGCGGATGGCTGGAGGAGATCTTGTTAAGGACCGTTTGCCCCGAGCTGCTCGTGGAGTACGGGATCTGGAGCGGCGGCGGATAGCAAGTGGTGAGCGACTTCGAGAACGTTTGCGTGGCAACAGTGGCGTTCGAGACCTAGAGCGGCGCCGAATAGCTGGAGGTGTCCGGGACCTAGAGCGGCGGCGTGTCACTGGTGAGGTTCGAGAGCGGGACCTTCTTCGAGTTACTGGAGATGTGCGAGATCGAGACCTCCTTCGGGTGACCGGCGATGTTCTGGATCTTGATCTTCTGCGAGTGATAGGTGAAGTTCTGCTTCGAGATCGCCTCCTGGTTACTGGTGGAGTCCTAGATCTGGA